TCTTTAGATCCGGTAAGCTTGTCGAACCTATTTCTGTTCATCAGCCCCCAAGACCCTTGACCTTGATCACTTCTTTTGTTGCCTTGTCCGGGGTTACGTCTCGATTAATTAAGTATGTGCTTTTCACTATACGGTCGGTATCGGTCCCTGATCGGACCCTGTTCTCAATTGATATCCCTTCGAGCAGCGGGTTCAGACCCCAACTGATCGTCTTCGACTCTAATTTTTGATTGGTACTGATTATGCACGTCGGCCCAAGTAATAGCTGGGTACTCGATCAGGTTATGCTTCAACCGTCATGAAGCCGTCGAACTTCGTTCATTCAAACCTTGAGTGAAAGCCTGAACAGCCCAATCGTCTGTGACTGGTGGCAGATCCATTCATTCCATTTGAAAATGAGATACGAACTCCCTTAGCATCTCGTTATCCTTTGTCTTACTTTGAACAGGTCCGACTTCCTGGTCTCGACTTTTATGGCCCCGGTGTGTGCTTTTACGAAGAAATCTGCAAGCATGACAAAAGAATCGATAGAATTAGATGGTAAATTATGATACTATATCATTGCTCCCTTTAACAGGGTTTCGCCGAATTTCTTCAATAATACGGATTCGATCTCATCGTCCTCTAGGTTGCTCCCTTTGATGGCACATGTGTATGAGGTGACATGTTCGTTGGGGTCAGTAGTTCTGTTATATTTAGGAATCTCGGGCATGCAGAATTTTTTTGGGATCGGTTTAGGAGCCGCGCTTGGGGGGAAAGGCTTTTATACAAAATTTTGGAATCTAAGCCCTTCAATATCGGTGGTTTCCCCGGGATTTGATCAACCCTGGAGTTATATGTTTCCATCTTTTTGTCGTTTGCTTCGATCCTCCTTTCTCCCGATTCTATTCGTTTGGTCAGTTTTTTGAACATCTTAGCAATTTCGGGATTAGTCCCCGACTCCTGCTCATTTGATCTTACTATAGATGGTTCCCTTGCATGGGCGATTTCTTGGGGTTGACTGGGCTCCGGCCTGCTCGGTATCTGGGTTTGACTCTGCAACTGAGCTATTGCTGCCTGTTGAGCTTGCAATATTTCGAAAATCATACGCAAGCTGACGCCGTTTTCCTCGACGTTATGGGTATCTCGAGCTGCAGATCAGGTGCCACCATGAATGTTATTTTCAGGTTCAGAATGTAGGTTCGCCTCAATGGCCACATGCGAATTAATGTCTATCGGCACTTCGATTTGAGCTCCAATGGCGTTGACAAGCGGTCTTTCGATAATTGGTGTCAAATTGTTGTTCTCATCTTGAAGACCAGCTTCGTTGTCAATAGGTAAGGCCATTTAATTTATAGTTAGTCGTTGCTAATCCGAAATCCAAGATATTTTCGGAAACAAGCGCAAAATGGTGTGTTTTTGCAGAATCGTATCAAATAACCACTGTTATCCTTAGCCCCACGGTAGGCGCCAAACTGTTTACCCGAAAAACGGATAGAGTTGAATTTGTACGCAGTTCTAAGGATATGTGGTATAGCTTAATACAAATCGTAAGGATAAATAGAAATATCAAATATGGATTGCAAAGAATGCAAAATAAACAAGGTTGGAAAGAAGATGATTTTTAGGACTAAGCAAGATGAATCAATCTATAAAACTTAAAAGAATAACTCTTCAATATAGGAGTGTATGGTATTTGAGTTACAATGTAAGCAAAGAACTGTCCCTTTATAGAAATGTAGCTATCCTCTTTATAGTGGAGGATCCTACTTTAGATATAATTAAAAATACATAGTAGGGAACCCATGATAAATCAGTTTTTTCCTAATTCCCGCCGAGATTCTCTCCCTTAGTGCGGTTAAAACGGCTCTTGTCTGTGAGCTTGAGCTTGATCGGACTCGGTGCTGGTCGGTATTATTTTTAGATCTCGATGCGGACTTGAGCTCGATGCTAACTCGGGGTCTGGTAATGACTCGGGCTCGATGTCGGATGGCCTTTGCCCCTTAAGCAAGATTCCATAACATCTCATCATAGTTCGATTCGTACCCGAGCTCGAGTATGACTTCGAACTCGGTGTTTGATTTATCCCCGAAAATCGAAGCTCGTTCGTGCCTTCTTCGGATCCCATCTCGATGTTATAAAGACTTTTTTCGATCCATTATGTTTCGATCTCGATCAAACGTACGAAGGCCGAAATCAGTTTCGACCGTATACAATATATTTTGTTTTGAATCCCCTTGATACAGCCCAAACAGTGGCGGAGCCACATGCACCCAAGGGGTGTCAACCCGACACCCCTTCGTCGAAAAATTATATTGTTTAGCTCAATAAGTTTTTTAAAAATATGTATATATATATACTATATAATGACACCCCTTGATTTCTTAGTGAGTTTGTTTCTTTATATTTTGACTTCCCTTAATAAAAATACTGGCTCCGCCACTGAGCCCAAAAGCATAGCTCAGTGGTCGAGGGGATTCAAAACCTTTGTGAAGTCACTTATTCAATTTTCACTAGCCACAATATCTTTTTATTTTTTTCACTTTCTTTCTTTTTTGAACTTCTTTGGTGAAAATAATGACTCCGCCGCTCGTGCCCAAGCTTTCCTTATGGACCTAAATTTGAGCTCCTTTCTTCTGCACTGAAATGCTAGCCTTCACAAGCATGATATGGGGCTTTAAGACTGACCCACAACTACAAATCTTTTTTTTTTTTTTTTTTTTTTTTTTTTTTTTGCTAATAACTACAAATCAACTGCAAACACTACCCACATATTCTCTCTGTTCACTTTTTTCGTCTAAAATAAGGAAATTGAAAAAAAAAAAAAAAAGAGAATTGCTTGGAAAATAAAAGCACTTAGAAAAAACAATTCTGGTTATATATATTAGAAAGAAAATTGATATTCTTTATTAGTGATAGCTATAGACTGAACAAAAACGACTAAGAAGGTGTTTGGATTAACTTATTTTAAGTGCTCGGCTTTTAAGAACTTTTCTAATATTTATGGTATTTAACAATGATTAAAGTTGTCAAAAGTTGAATATTAACAATTTATGACTTTTGAATTTTAACTTATAAGCTATTTTTTAAAAGTCAATCCAAATATCCTCTAAGTTGATATGACTCCAAAAATTACAAGCTAAATATGGCTCTGAAAACAAATACCTAACTTCTTAGTACATGGCACGTAGTTGGTACGAGATTGCTGAAAGAAAATGTAATTTTAAATTTTAAAATAATAAGAAGAAAACACGTAGTGTGTGTGTGCCGCAAAATGGACCACACAGGTCAACACCAAATGGAACTTGAGAAAGCCATAAATAAAAAGCTGGCCTGCGAATTGAAGGATGCCAAGAAAAACTAACACAAGTCATTTTCATTTCTCTGCAATTATGTTGATTTGAGTATAGAAGTATCTCTTTCCCTTGTCACATGGAAGAGAAAGTGCTCAATTCAAACAAGTATATTTTAATTAGGGGTATAAATATATCGTGTTGGTTTGGATTTTTATCAAAATCAAACTAAATTAATTATATTTATTTGAGCTGGTTCGATTTTATCGATTTTTGGGTTTATTTGAATTTTTTTTATTATAAAAATATTATTTCAATCTTACTTTGTTATAGTTAAATATAAATTGTGATAAGTGAATATCTGTTTAGAAAAAATTGACAAGTATATGATCTTTTAAAATATTCTTATGGAAGGATTTTTAGAAACTCGTGATAGTTATTTTCTTAGTCTAACAATAATTTTTCGTTGACGTACGTTTCAAGCTTAATCGAATTTTAGTAATTAACCATAAAAATCAATATGAAAATCAAAATAATAATATGTTCTATTTAATTTTAAAAATTACCGATAAAATACCATTTTAAATTTGAAAAAGATATAAGAGTTTATTAAATATTTACATATGAATATGGAAGAATAAAGAGATTGATGCATTTCAATAACACTTGATAACAAAAATAATGATACAAATTAGAATCAACCATTATTTAAAGTAAATAAAATATATATATTTTATAATTCTATTAAATATTACNTATATATAAAAATTATATATTTATACGTAGGTTTGATTCGAGTTTTTTTTACTCAAAACCAAACATAATCGAATTTTTTAATCAGTTTGATTTGACTTTCGATTGAGTTTGATATTACGGTTCGATTTGAACACCCCTAATTTTAAATTTTGACCACTTAGGGAAGGTATATCCTAAAGCCTTGCATCTTGTTTTTTTTCAAGTATAGTGGCAAGGATAAGGATATGTGTCATAAATATGCCACGCATATATATGTCGACACCATTAATTGTTTAGGAGTGGTTGATACTCAATTGTTAATTAAGAAAAGACAACCTTCTATTATAAAGTATTATGCCTTTATAGTAAAAGTGAAAGCAAAAATATCTTAATCTAACTGAAGGGTTAAGGGCTAGCTTATTTGTGAACTCCTTTTACAGTGGGAGGTTCAAACTCTACTTTTTCTTCCCTCCCTAATGTAATAAAGATTTTTTTTTAAAAAAAAAAATAATCAAATAATCTAGTACAACTTTGTATCAAGATTTTAATATAGGCTGAATAATTAGTAGTAGTGATCACGCACATAAGTTCTTATGATTTGAGTGAATAATGTTGACCTTTGTTTCGAATTATATCACTTGATTGTCAATTTTAATAGCAAAATATACAAATTTAAAGGATTTCTTTTGATGATTAAACTGGTAATCAATTTGCACTCAAATTTTAAGGATTTCTGAGCATGCATGGGTCCAAACTTCCAATTTCTGTCATTTTTTTTCCAAAATCATACATCAATTAGTTATTCAAAATAAGCTGATTTTTATATTTATAGCTTGGCCAAACAAGCCTAAACTTCATTTGCATTCAATCAATAAAAAACTAAGAAAAATTGAAATTTTAATAATTTGTATAAATTTCATTATTATCTGTGTTTAACCAATAATGCATGGTAAAAATCTCAAGTGAGAAATTTAAGTAGTAAGATCATCCAAATTCCAGAAACAGTAAATTATGGGATCTATAAAACAAGCCAACCCATAAATTATTTTCAAGCGAAAGATAAAATATCAAATTACCAAAAAAAGAGAAAAAAATATACACTAATTAATTCACATTTTTTGTCAACAATGGAACACCCCAAGATTTATCTCTCTTTTCAATTTGGCCCGATGATCAAATAATTCAGATGACGTCAATTGCCGACGATAATCATCTAATCCAACGGCTGTGATTAAATCTTTTCCAATTTCTCAGCTTTAACCAAAGGATTCGCCTTAGCAATAGCTTCTCTCCCCATAGACTTGAAATCAAACGTGCAGCCATGGATCTCCGGGTATCGATGGGTCCCACAAAAAGTGGTCCCACACCTACACTTGAACCCGGTCAACCCCACTTTCTTCCTACAAACCGAACACCGGTTTGGCTGCACCACCGGTTCGACAACAGCCGCCGGTTTTTTCTCTAATTTTAACGGTTCCGGCAACACCACCACCGATGAGCTGGCGGCGGGAACCGGTGGCTGCAGAGGAAAGAGAGAATCAATGGGCTTTTGTTGGGATTGTTGAGCTAAATAAATTTCATGGTAACATTTGGAGCAGAAATTTTGGGTTGTTGAGCTGCCGAAGAATCCACAGTTGTTTGCGCATAATATGTGCCCTTCTTGTGCCTCAAAACCATGCTCTTCCGCCATAATTGTATCAGTTTTTCTTCAAATTAAAGTCTCAAAAACAAGATTTACGAGCAGGTGAAAAAGGCTATAAATGAAACTCTGGAAAGGAATGAAGACGCAATTGGGGTAAAATGGAATGAAAGAAGAATTAGATAGATAAATAGAGAAGGGGAAGGATCAGAGAAAGGAGACAAAAATTAAAGGGAATTTAATAATGAGAATGGTGAGCAAATCATTAGAGAAGATACTAAAGAAATATCAAAAGGAGGACAGGCTGGAAGAGGCAAAAAAAGAAGATGAAGGGAAGCCAAGATTTTTAGTTATGGGGTAATTGGGTGGTGGGGGGAGGACACGTGGCTGGAGGATTGTGGGTTAAGATGAGAGGTAATTTAAGGCGAAATAACTCACTCAATATTTGCATAATTGCATCAAATTATAGAGGCAATTTTATGGCTCATTATAAATTTTCTTTAATTATATGATATTTTTCTGGAAGATCTGTGAAATATGTTTAGGAAAGCTAGATTCATTTTTTTAATTTAATTTGTATTTTGGCGAATCCGTAGCTATATAAGATATTCAGAATTAGTAAGAAAATTAAGGCAAGAATATGTATTAATTTATTTATAGAATTAGCCACTAACGTTTCATTATGTTAGGCTACTTATATCATATTCTTTGGATGCTATCATTTTTCGGATTTTACATGAATGCGTGATACTTTGTATATTGAGTTGTCCTTTAATATGCTTAGCTTATTATAATTAGCTGGTATTATTTAATTATGATTAGCTGGTAATGAGTTATATAAAAATACCTGACTTATATTTCTTGAATGGTATAAATATCGAATATGAGTAAATTTATTTGTGAGACAAAAATTAGAATATGGGGATGAGGGTAGTGGGTTAGGTTGTAGGTTAAGTTGAATGGGTTAAGTTATGGGGATGAATGTGATTACTGTCCTCTTGTGCTTTCTCCAATTATTAATATGTTTTTTGGGGGGTGGTGTGCGTGTCTTTCTCCAATTACGTGTGTGCTTAGCTGCATTCATAGTTTTGAGTCAATTTTGAAACGCCCCAAGATACTTACCACCCGGATTGGTCATAAATTTTGCTAAAAAAAATTCAATTTGTTTTTAGTAAATACATATTTGTTCATAAAATTTATTCGCTCAAAATATTACTATTACATTTTTTAAAAATTGCCCCAAACTTTTATATTTTATAACAGAGCTCATCATTTATTATTTTGTAACAATGTTGTTTCGTCTTCTCGGTCATCTGATAGTTTAATATGTAGTTAATTATAAAAATGATAATTTTGTACCAAATTTATTTATGTTCAGGACTATGATTTGTGATAATGATAATGAATGTTATTGATGACGGTACTGTTAGGTATTTGTGATAGTTTTTGGAACTTGTGGGTATAAGTCATGTTTCATGTTATTTTTTTAAAAAAAAGTAAAATATATTTTGAAAACTGATATCCAAACACATTTTTATCTTCAAACCAAACTTTACCTAAATCAAATTTTTCAAAATAAATTTAAAATTTATGACCAAACGCTAGCTAGTAATTTTGTATTTTGAACCCGTAAAGAAAAAGAAGGGAACAAGGCGGCGTATCCTTTGGGCTTTGACTCCATCGACTAATTAACTTTTGCTTTAATACTATTACATTAGTCCATCCTTTTTCTTTTCGAAAGGTCCCACTTGCCATTTACTGTTTCTACAAACAGAAGTGGAAAATGTCAAATATAATAATAAACAATAATAATAATAATAATTATTATTATAATGGTCGACTCCTTTGAAGGAAAAACTAGAATAGGAATCTAACGTAAAACATGACAAAGTGGAGGAATTAGTGTTCAAACTCTGTATTATCCGCCAACTTTTTTTATTATAATATTTTACTTATGACATAGGGAGCATGTACCTATAATAAGGTAAAGTATTATACTACCTATTATATATAAATATTTTCTTTCGATAAAAAAAACTATTCAAACCCTATAATTGTGTGAAAAAAAAATACTGTGCTTATCTTTACTCTTCTAAGAAAAAATATTGGGAGTCGCTATCCGTGCCGTTCCATTTATACATTTTCATCTTCCTTTTTTTTTTTTTTTTTTTTTTGGATTTAGGTGTAAAATTGACTTTTTAGGTGCAGGGATGTTAATTTTTTCTTCAAGATTGTAATGCCTTGTGAAGTAAAAACTTCCATTTATAGTAAGATATTGTTGATCTAACGCGATAAACAGACGTGATACAAATTGAAGATAAAAGTTGAAAGAAAGCCTGTACAGTAGTTGAAAAATAATAAATACCCAGCAAACAAAGCAATACCAAAGGAAGCAAAGTATTCGTATAGATGATATTAGCTAACTCGGGTAAATTTCATAAATGGTCATATAACTGTGACTTTTTTCATCAAAGTCATATAACTTTGTTTTCTCACACAAAAATTATATAATATTTACTAACTCACAAAAATCATCGTGATCTCAAAACACAATTTTTCGAAAGTATTTTCTTATTACATTTTTTTGTTAGTCTAATAAATACATAGACGGGTTCTAAGCTCTTTGAACATTATGAATTTGAGTTTCGAATTTTACCATAATCGATTCGATTGACTAGGTTTGAAATATATTATTTGTATTTTTGGTGAATTTTTTAATAAATATATATAATTTGAGTCAAAGTTACTAGATTTGGATGGACCCATAACTTATGCACTACATCTACTTTTGACTAACTATACGATTAAACTAGTTATTTGTGTATAAGTAGTTAGAGAACGCTTAATTATCGTTATAGGTTTACAAGTAAAGAACAAAAGACAAAGACTCAACAAACATAAGGACTTAAGACATCTTCAGTGTTGGGATCTGATCCTTGATTTGTAACAACTCTGTTCTGGAGTGCACCTAAATAGTGGTGACTAGCACTTGAGATGATAGGTTTTTCAAATTGTCAAGTATTAGGTCAAACTTTGTATGATGTTGTTTATATATGGGAGAGCATGTTTGAAGAGATAAAGACATTACACCTTTTGGTTTGACCTCTAGCAGTAGTTGCTGCCAGTCAATACAGTGAGACAACTTTTACAGCTATAGAGTTGACTGTACGACAACTGGGGAACTGATCCTATCTGTTCTCTTATCTGTTTCCTTATCTGGTTTCTCGAGAGTTTGGCCAGACCAACTGAGCATGTCTCAATAGGCGCAAAGGAACTGATTGTATCAGGTTCCTAAATAAAATTTGTCAAATCATTAAAACCATAATCGTATAACTTATCACTAACTATACAATGTAATTATCCGACGAAGTAATTTCAATTTAATTGATACCCCTTGAATACATGTGGCTCTACCGGTACTTTCTAAACGACAAGTTTAGACAGCAAATTGAAACTCATGACATTTTATTCATAAGAATGGGGCGGTGGAGAATGAAGCCAAAGTTCCCTTCATTTAGAGATGTGTGCTTGACATTGTCCTGGTTTAATCGAAAGTAGAAGAAATTTAAGAAGTTAGGAAGGATGCTGCCTGTGTCTAAAGTTCAACGGTGAGGAAACTTTGTTAATTTCTACAATTTTGTTGTTTAACTTCACTAGGTCTTTAAAATTAAAGAGTATTCGTAACATATCAAAGTAAGACAAGTTATTTCCAAACTTTGTTGGACAACTTGAACGTATATACCTCTAATAGAAAATTCAGTTAGAGATAAAACTCATCAAAGTCAGAAAACCTTTTTTCTATTTTGCATCAATAATTGCTACTGATCTTTTTTACTTTCGTATGCGAAGGTGGTCCTCAAATTACTTAGTTGTGCCTATAAAGCAACTGCGCAGGCGGCAGGCCTGGGGATAGAGAAGGTGGTGTCCGTGTTAACACGCGTATCTGTTATATATTTGAATAGTTTTGGTTCTTTAAATTTGTTAAAACGTATTTGTTTTTTGATTTCATCGAATATTTAACGAATTTTAATTGTTTATTTTATGGGAGCTATGAAAAGAACCATTCAACCATAAACATCAAAAACGTCAAAATTTCAGAAACTGCAACACTAAAAATTATACCAGACACAAAAAATAGATAAAAGAAAATATAATAATTGCTCTTCGAGATGTGAGTTTATGTTAAATCTATTTTTTCAAAGTTTCTGATAGTTCTAATAACCAAAGTTTGTTAAAAGATGTGTCGAAGATAAAAACGCTTACTTTTGACAATCTTAAGGACAAAAATTGTTCTCAGATTGATAAGTTATGTGTCCTTTAATATTTTGATGATCTAACAAACTATATGATAAGAATCCGATCAAGAACCTGTTACACATTCTTAAGGTGCCAAAGCACAACAAATCTCAAGTTGGGCACAAGTTCCAACAGTTAGAGTCAAAGAGACGAGAGAGGGAACAAATGGACATCAGTTCCCTTGCTGACTGTATCAGTCAACTCCTCACAGCTGTAAAATTGCTGCAACTGTTCCTCTGCACACACGTAACAGTGCAAATAATGTAGCAGTCACTTTATGGGGAATGTTTTGTACCGGATATTTTCTTGCATCATCCAAGTGACATCACTTGGATATTATTAACATGAAGCAAAGAAAAAAACATACACTTGCACATTCGAAAAACTGATCAAGTTTTCTTTCAAGTGTGTTGCCATCTTGCAAGTGACTTCCAGGCTTTAAGAACAAAGAACAATGGAATGAGGGACTAGTTTCCAACTCTGTGTTATCAATATGTCCTTAGTTGTGTTATATTTTTGTTAGAATGGACTACTTATAATTCCTACTTAGCTTAGCTAGAAGCATTGTGTAGGAAACCATTTGTAAAATCATAAACCTTGTGTTTGTGTCTTACCTAGAGTTAGTCGAGTTGTGAGATTTGTAATAGAGTTATTACAAAGAGGCTTGTAATAGAGTTATTATAAGTAATTGAGGAATTAAGAGTTTAATTCCTAGGTTACAATAGGTTGTAATCTAAAAGTTGCTCGGTTAGTGAAGTTCAAATCCTACGAGTGTAGGTCGTGATTTTTAATCCCGTGAGCTGGGAGTTTTTCACGTAAAATTCTGTTGTGTTATTTACTTATCTCTTATTGTGTGTGTTCTGTGGGAATTGATGGACCCTAAGTTTCCATCAATTGATATCAGAGCAGGTTCTTCCTATCCGGCTAACACCTAGAAAGGATCCTCATGGCTACTCCACCAAACTTTGAAGAAGGTTAATCTACCTACAGACCACCAAGATTTAATGGACAATA